GGTAAAGCACCTTAAGACCCTTCCATCTATGAAGAGTATTTGATTCTACCATATCTGGGTCTTGAGAAGAAGATTTTTGAAATTTTAGTCAATTTGACCCTTTTTGGCCCCGCCCCTCAGGCCCCTGGGGGCTTGGGACTAAACCGGCAACTATTTTTGTTGACCTTTGTCCATGGAAGGTTCCTGCAAAATTTCATTGAAATTGGTTCAGTGGTTTTGGAGAAGAAATCGAAAATGTAAATTGTTTACGGACGCACGACGGACGACGACGGACAAAAGGCGATCGCAATAGGTCACTTGAGACTTTGTCTCAGGTGACCTAAAAATCTAACTTGAGTGGTAAAAATCTAACTTGACTGGGCAATTCATGCTGTAAGTAGGTGTAAAAAGTGTCAGAAAAATCAAAGCATTTATTTATTAAGAGTTATAAATTATCCATGCAGACAATGCCAACAGCGTGATCCCTGTCTGTCTCTTTACTTTGCAAGAGACAATTTGAAATCAATTCTTCTTTAAAATTATCTTAAATACTGGAATAAAAATATTTCAATATACACACCAACAGTAGGGTCTGTTGTCGAGTAAGTGCTGGCTGAGGTGGGACGGTTGTGCAGCGCAGCAGACATTGGTCGGTGTCGCGGCCCAGTGGACGATGCTACGATAATATACAAGTATATAACTCTTATAGAACGATCAGGATTCGCAGATTCTCGTTCTTCGATATCAAATTCACAGGGTAAGTAAATGTTAACCATGAACATGTTTTATTTCCATCGTTGAACATAAAAATGCACATGAATATGTATTAATTCTATAACATCTTCAAGTTTGAACTAATTGTCATGTGATGACATATTATCTCATTGTACCTTGTGCGATTTGAAACCAATTCTTTTTGTTATATTACATCACTGTTCTTGACATGGTATTTTCCTGTTAATTCTATCTAATTTCTATGTCTGAAGTTTTTCATCAATATTGTAAACTTCTCTAACTATTTAATCTTCAATGCTCAAAGTTGTGTGATTTTGATCATCACTTACTAGGTATACTTTTTCAATGTATTTAATTATGCACTTGATGCATTTTTTCATAATTAAGGTAGCATTCATATTTCATTTGAAAATAACTAAAATCAGTTCGACCCTTAACTAATCTCTCTCAAACCAAAATATGTACATCGCTGTAGATCAAAAGGTGAAAATGACATGCTCAATATCAAAGGAATAAAAACAACGTTTTAATATACAAATGCAGATCTAACTACTGAAGTTGCTGGCAGTGTACAAAAATTGTGCATAATAAATAATTAAAATTTGTGACGTTAGAAATGTAGCAATAAAACAACATGACCGTTTCAATAAAGGCAATAAGCTGGGAGCAACGAAAACAGTAAAGCTTGATGACTATGTTAATCACTAGGGGACACCCGATTTGTTGGTATTTTTATACCGTACCTGGACGTTGACTGGAAGCAGACCGCGGACGATTAGACACACCCAGTTTTTGTGTGTAGATCTGGACGGCATTTGCATAAGATGACTGTGACGGGGTGTGGTACACAGACGTACCACCGTGCCCCGAGTCAGCTGCAGTGAAGGAGGTGCCAGGCTTGCTGTCGCCTACATGAGAGGTGCCGCTAACTAAGGAAGCAGAGAGAGGAAGTTTACACTAGAGAATTAAACTACAACATTCAACATATTATAGGCCATTGGGGTTACAAAATTAGGACATGAACGACTCTTTTTTTAAAAATTAAAAACCAATTGTGTGAAAGCTAAAACCTGTCAGTTTTCCTACTTACGACCCATAGAAATAATATTGCTCCAAGCAAAATAGGCAAATTTCTATTTCATAGCGTATTTTATTTATGCATTAAGAGTTTTCCGAATTAACGAGGTACAACTTTAGCTCATCTCCTTTTCATAACACATACACATCAATTTAGGCCATTTTAATGTCTTTCGTCAAAAGAAAATATATTCTGTCATGTATCCCTCGACAAAATGGCAGATATCTATCTTTCTAAAACATTGTGGATCACAACAGACAAAGTGCAGATTACTTTATATCTATCATTCAAGTTAGGATTACCTCCCTTAATTTCATTTGTTAAGTCTTTTTTCCTGTGAACCTGTCACATCAATCAATTAGCTCTGTAATCCTAGTTACCATTCACAACAGTGGAACTCTATTATACAAGAGATTCTTTAGGTCAAAGCATTCGAGCTAGGATATTTCTAAACATTGTCTTCAGGTTGGTAAGTATTGATTATGAAGAGTTCTTTTTACACAACCAATATCATTTTCTATGTGATCTTTCGATGACTAGTACGATATGTACACGTCATCGAAACGTCACATAGAACATTTTATTGGTTGTGTAAATAAAAGCTCTTCATATTTCAAGCTAGGCACTGAAAGGCACTGGAGAATTGATCAGTTCAGGATTTCCGACAGAATTAGAAAAGTAATGAACAGGTATATGGCATAAAGGCATTATTATAGGGTACAAAGCATCTGACAGTCTACTGGTATAGTATCAGATCACTTATATTCTTGGAGAAAAAATATTTTCAAAGCAAGAATTCCATCCGTCTAGCAGTGTTTTATATCCTAAAACAAAATCATGGCATTAAGAAAATGGTAACGAGGGAAAAAAAAAAGTGATTTCATGTCAAAACAAATTTCAAATAAGATACTGGTATACTTAGGGAAGAAGTGAAATAGGAAACACATTTTTAAAAAAGACAATCTATAAAATAAAACTACTACTTATTTAACATACAGAAAAAAGTCTTATAAGTGATCTGGATAAAGTAGGATGATGTATACTCACAAACTGGAGTAAAGGAGGTGAGTATGGAAGGTAGTAGTGGGCACACTAAATATAAACCAAAATCTAACATCTAAATATATAGCTCTAAAATAAAAGTGATAACAATTATTAGCAGTGTTAAAATTCTACACTTCAAATTCTATACACAAAGCTCAAACTTTGGTACAGTCATTGACAACTGGGAAAATAAAGGACTCTCATTACATCAGCTTTAACCCTTTCACCCCTATGTAACTTTAGTAGACTCTACCATGCATTTATATGGATGAGTCCATTTTGTTCTACAGTGGTGAAAGGGTTAACACCCATGTAGGGATCAATTTGAATTCAAAATCTATAAAAAACCTCATTGGAAATATATTTTTTTTTACAAATTAATACTATTTGATTTTTACATTTAAAAAACAAAAAATTGGTGACATTATTTTCGTTTTACTCTGTCAAACACATAAAAGAGTCAAGCAGCATTCCGTAGATAATTGTAACTGTTAATTAGATGGATATCAGGGAACAGAAGCATGGTTGACATACTATTTTTAGTCTACAGAATTCAACAAACAGATTATGTATATCATTAGATTGGCCTTGCCACACATGATTAATGTAGAACAACCTCACATTGACCCTCTGAGAGAATGGTGGAAACACTTCTTTGTCTGCGGCATCAGTACAGCCAGAATTTTTCTGGATTTCTCTCCCCCCCCCTCGCCACAATTAAAAGTGCCAAAAAAAAGAGAAAAAAGTTAAGAACTTAATTTTTTTCCGGTGCAGCAATATCTGGTACAGAATCGCCATTTTATACATTAGACAGCACACAGTAGTGAATGTGGTAACCTTTGTGACTCTCCTTTCACCCTACAATGATGCGAGAACCAGATTCTGCTGTGAACGCACCTTCATTTGAGACACTGTCTCGTCTGTCCTGCGACGTGCTGTCTCGTCTCTCTCTTGAGATGCTGTCCCTCCGTTTCTGGAGACCTGTATCTGAAGCCGATGTCCCAGAAGCTCGAGGTTGTGTCACAGAACTAGGGCGCGAGCCATTGTTTTCAGTGGTGGTTGGTTTGTTGCTAGCGTCTCCTCCCCCCAGAAATATGCTGGCTGATTTGTTGATACGTGTGTATGTAGTCAGCACCTCCTCAAGCTCCCCCTCACTGTTAACGGAACATTGATACAGATAATAAAAACGATGTCCCCATCACTATTATGGCCGAGTACAGACTGTACGGAAGTATAATTGTATAAGATGTTGTTACAAACATCAGAGAATCTTCCACGATGATATATCACACCGTTATCAAAAGTATTGTGTTACCTCAGTCTATAATGATCATGCTGCTGGCTCAAATTAGCAATCAGGTTCACAGGTCACGGAATTTGTATTGTGACAAATTTTAACTCAGCAAAACAAAATGCAATCTTAAAGTGAAAATATAGACTTGTTGAAGTATCTGAGTGATACTTAATAATTTTTGGAACTACAAATTAACACATCTCAACATTTTAAGCCCGAAGTGCTGTACTGTCTATTTATTTCTGAAGACTTTTATCTGAAGCGGAGGTCCCGTATATATGCTCATGTAAGTAAAGTTTGAAATATTAACTTCAGATACATACCTGGCAATGTTGACAAACTTTTCGAATTTTTTGTCACACAGGTTTTCTCCTCGGGGATGTAACTCTGCCACTTTACCCTGTCTCTGTTCCGCCAATTTCTTCAATCTTATTTGTTCAGTTTCCTAAGTTGTAAACAAGTCATTATCAAAATCATATGAATATCTAATAAAGTGACAATTGTTTAAGTTCAAAAAAATGTAAAGAAACAAAAGAAAATTTAAAAAGAAAAATCAAATGTCTTTGATTTAACTGAATTCATAACAGCAAATTTAATTATTGCTTCATTATTTGTCATTTTCAGATCATACAGAATAATGTTGACACATTAATTTTGTATCTACTAACAAAACCAACTAAAATGGAGTACCCTTTATTTCCTGATTCATATGCTGTATAGGACCCATGGGAGCCCAGAATGGGTAGGATCTAGTTAAAATGTTGCATTTACAGGAAAATTGAAAATGGAAGGGAACGTAATCACAGTAATTACGGTAACTTTTGTAAGAACTATTAATGTTTTTAGATGGCATTAGAAATACACATAGCAATGATTATCCTTACCCCTACCCTTTACAGTGTCAGATCTAGAGACATACAATATTTTTCAATTATATCTATTTAACTACAAGAGGACCACAGGCTAGATAGCTTGTTGGGTTTCACCCTTCTGACTCCGAGGGGAAGGATGGGCCACATTCTTGTTTATACAAAATTCAATCTCTTGGCAATTGGTCAAGGCAGTTTTAGTCCAAATCGAAGGAGTATTCAGTTCTACTGAAAATTTACTAATTTTCTCTTTTGGGGCCCATCCTTCTGATCACCCCAGAGGAGTTTGTTTAAAACAAATTGATCCACTTGTATCGATGAAAGGACACTTCTTATAAAATTTATTCAAAATTATTTCAGCTATCCCTAGACAAGTAGTCTTTAAAAGGACAATTTGACAGTTATACAATAAATGCTACAACACAGCATAAAATCTCTTTGCATTTGCCCAGTTGAACAAATATTGTGCTAGCAACACTCAAAGCTCAAGACGAGCACCAAACATACAATAGGCTTCAACATTAGAAGTAATTATTGTTCATCTCTGTGATGTCCAACCTCGAGTTGCTGTTCACTCAAATACTAACTAACTTTGCTTCTAGCCAATCTATATAAGACATAAATCAAGCATCTCTGCATCAACTTTATTACATTCTCTTATAACCCTTTCACCACTGTAGACCATAATGGACTTATCCATATCAATGCTTGGAAGAGTTTACTGAAGTTACATAGGGGCAAAAGGGTTAAGTAAAGAATTTCAACATGTCTTGAGACAACAAATCACACATACACTTTGTCTTCAATTATCTCAGAGCCTGTCAATTATAATAATTACCGCCTGAATATAATACTGTCTTAGTGTGAAACTCAAAAACCTGGGCATTCAAGGCACTCAGTAAAGTGGGTATTCAAGGGCAGATAATCAAGATATGTCGGATTTAAATCCGAATAACCAAAAAATAACCATACAGATTTGACTTGAAATCATATTTTACAGGTAATGATATTGAAAGGATTTTTAGCTTTTAATCATATTCTAGTGTTGAAATATGTTTAAATGCTGAATTATGATATTACCATGTTAAAAATAAAGTCACTATTTTCATGTTACAGATCTAGACTTACACAGAGCTGTAGCACTAAGTCAAGAGGCGAGGAACTTAAAAACTGATGCAGGAATATAAATTCATTAATATATAAATATGCTTACAGTACGACGATAAATCAACCACACCATCTGTTAATGATTTTTTTGCAAACTTTTTATCAGCTAAGAAGGGGAATTGAATTCATGGCTGTAGTATATTTGCATGGTAACAGAAATGTAATAATTTAGGAAAAATAAAGATTCATGAGACTGAAATTGAAGCAGCTGAGAGATACATTCCACAATTCATGTTAAATTTTATCATGCAAATTTGAAGGTAAGGGGTTTTATATACAAATTGTTAACCAGGTGATATAGTTTAAGATAGTTACATCACAAAATTGTTAAAATCGTTATAGAAGATCTAATAGTAATGGATGTTAGCATGCTTTAAACTGATCATACAAGGTATACAGCTAATTTCCATAGTAATCCATACATTTTGTATAACATAACAAGGGAGACAACCTTTGGAGGTTTATGTGAACTAGCTCTACAGCCTAGACCCTTACATGCCGGTTATACCTGTTTGCTGTGGTGGAGTAGCTGTAACAGAACGGTTTACTCTAACAGAAGGCTCATCAGAGATCATTGTACAGGACAGAGGAGACAGCATGATATTGGGGTTCAGAGCTCACAGCATCAGGAGCCGAAGGTAAACTGAGTACAGAATTTACTTAAAGATCCCTGTCGCACTGCACTGTGGTTATCCCTACATACAGTAACCTCCCCTTTACCTTTGTTTGGATATGACTGTAGCACAGTTAGGCCTGTACACTTCTGTTGACCAGGTAGCTCATGATCAATTGGTGAGAGCAACGGTATTACAATCGGTTGACCAGGTAGCTCATGATCAATCGGTGAGAGAAACGGTATTACAATCTGTTGACCAGGTAGCTCATGATCAATCGGTGAGAGCAACGGTATTACAATCTGAAGTTCAGGGTTCGAACCTGGGTCCCTGTCAATCCCAACTGATTTTTTTTTTAAACTCAGAACACTGCAGTAGATTATGTTTTGTTTATTTCATCCTTAATATTTCTCATGAAAGTCCCGCAAGGTATGGATTTATATTCAGAAATGAATTTACAGATCTATAGTCATACCGGATAAAACAGTTTCCAATACCTAGTTTCAGTTTTTAGCAGTGGAACAGGGATTCTGAAGCAACAGGAAACAAAGACGCTCCACTGGAGAGTAACAACAGGAGCTTGGGGGGCGATAACTCACTGGAGCAATGGGACAAATGTGATTGTGCTTGAAAACTCACTTGAGTAGCAGGAGAAATGGTATTACATGTATACCCAAAAGCTCTGTTTAGACAATATTGGACAAAGGTCAAAATGAGTAAGTTAATTGGATAAATATCAACACACAGACATACTCATTAGAGTAAGCAATGTCAGTTAATGAAAAAACAGAAATAAAAGTAAAATTAAACAACACTATACACAGGACAAGGAAATACTGTTGTAGATAGATTTTACTGGTAGAGACAGGTTTTCACTTAAATGGGTTGAAAATGATCATTTACTGATAGACTTAGAGTTTAGTTTACACAAAAGCTTCTCATCGTTTACAGAAAGGTTTCTGATAGTGCACACTGCAAGCAGACCTCATAAAATGTCATATTTGGGTAAATTAACTCATTCACCCCTGAAATTTCATAATGAACTATTTCAACATATGAATCGGAAGAGTTCAAATGTGTCTTCAGGTGTGAACGAGTTAAATTCTCACACAGGTTTTTTTCATCACAACTATAACTATAGTGTACCATCATAAAAAGTTCAACTAAACCATAACCAAACCTTTATCAAACTTCAAAATTAGACATGAGCAACATTAATGACACGAATGCACCGATAGAGTTTCTAGATCTAGTAGATCATTCTGGCGCTAAATGTGTTACCTACCTTGTTATAAATGTGTACAAAATCTCCGAGCTGTTTGGCTAGAATCCGGCGTCGGTCGTTCAGTGGTAATTTACGACTCGGTACGATGACCTTGAACTGCTGTTGTAAATTGACAGCCGCTCTTTTCAGAAATCGTAAAACTAAGTCCTGAAAAAAATACCAGCGTTAATAGTTCTAAAAGCTAAGCCTGGCATTAATTTATTAAAAAAATATATTTAACCAAAAGGATAATAGTTTACAAAGTTGTAATATAAATGATTGGTAAAATTCATCAGAGCAATCGAACCCACTATACATCATAAATGGCATAAAAAAAAGAATGATTTATTTTTGTAATGATTTTGTTTAATAAAAGATGTGTTATCTAAATGTATGAAAGCTATTATAAGTTGAGTTAGTTTCCTTATTTAAATGAAATTTTAGTTTATTTCTTCTTTATCATTAAAATGCTTTAAGATGGAGAAAGAAAGGTATTCCTTTTTAAAGTTACGGATTTATTTACGAAGCTCACCATTTGCTCATTAAGAGCATCAATGTCTTCCTGAGAGGTAGGACTGTGTTCCGACACGAGACGCTGCTGGACTCTCACCAGATACATGGCGAACGCACTGCGGGCCTGTACCTTACTGTTAACATAAACACGTAGTTATAGTGTTGTGGGTGAAGCTGAAAAGCTTCAAAACAATACCACACCGTTACATCAATGATTTATCGAGGCACGTTACTTTTTTTAAGTTTTCTGTGATATCAGATTATTGAAATCAAAGCTGTATGTATACAACACATATTTATTCTTCACACAAGTCTACCTAGGCTAGTAGTAAAAAAAACAACCACACCCAATAACAGAGTATACAATCCAGATACTTCCCAATATAATATTATTCATTACATGCTTCAATTAATACGAAAAGGACTTTTTACACTGTATGCAGCAGATCCCTGCGAGTCATACCTTAGAGAGTTGCCTTTATGTAGCATCTCAACGACCTTGAGCTTTGGTTCTTGAGGGATGGGTGGTTTGGACGGTGCTACAACAGACTGGGATTCTGCATCCTTGTCCGGCCCCCGAGGAGGGGCTTCCCCTGTATTAATGGTGGTGACTGGGGGTTTGGGGGGCAGTCTTTCTATTGTTTTACTGGGTTTTGGAGGGGGGTCATCTGGTGAATGAGACACTTGTTTTTTCATTGTATCTGCAGTATTTTGTGAATTTTCAGACTCCCCTTCCACAGGAACTCTGTCAATTTGGGACCCTGATTCGTATGAAGTAACAGTGGTTCTCTGTTCCTCCTTAGCGCTGGGGTTGTCTCCTCCTGCATCTTCCTCCACTCCCTCTCCCTCTTCCTCACCTTCGCCATCCTCTGGCACGCCCTGTGCTAATTTTGTCTTCGGTTTAGCTAAAACAATAAATAACCACGGTTTATCCTACAAAATAGTTTTATATTTTTGTAATTCTTTACAGTGCCGTCACCTTGATCCAGCTACCATAGCTCCTAACTAACTGTGGCNTTAGCTAAAACAATAAATAACCAAGGTTTATCCTACAAAATAGTTTTATATTTTTGTAATTCTTTACAGTGCCGTCACCTTGATCCAGCTACCATAGCTCCTAACTAACTGTGGCTTGATAGTAAAATGGTTGACCATTTCAACACACTGTCCTCTAAAACATTGGCACATGACCAGCAGGCCAGAGTGGCTGAAATGATTATCAGCTGAACAGTAATTCTGTCAATAATGAGAAAATTTCTCCTCTGTAATAACTGAATGAATAGTGTACTTCTGTACAATTTAGCCTTGTTTAAAATATTTCAGAAAATCCATAACTATGATTTTTTTCAACATCTCTGTAACATTTTACCTCTACGATTTTTCCTTTTCCCTTTTCGTCGATTGCGACCAACTCCAAGTTTTCGTTCATAGTGCCGTGTTCTGATGATTGCATCTGCATAACACTCGGCGAGCTAGAGAAAAACATTGAACAAAACATCTTTATTGGAATCAGTCTCTAATCTCAACCAGCTGTATATGTCTATGTCCGATGTTTATATTGTAATAACATAAGTCTGTTTTTCCTGCAATTCCTGTAATTTTTACAACTTCTAAGAAGTATGTAAATCCAGCCACTTGCAAATTTTTAAGCATCCATCATTATGGTGCAAAATAACGGATGCAACGCTATTATAGAAGCCTGTAGTCAAGGAAAGCCAATCCTCAAATCTCTAAATTCCAATATTCCAGATTTTAATTAACCCACCAATGTGACAGAAGGTGTTCAACAAATATCATATTACTCACCTCTGTATCCGACTTTCCCGTTGAAAGACCGAGATGGGCATATGTGTTTCTGTAAAGGAAAAACCACAGTTATAATTTATTGTAGTCAGATGTCAATATCCGACAATTTAAGTTTGTTAATTATTCCTGTACATGTGCCCCAAGTCTACATAGCAGTTGATTAGTTATGATTTGATTTAGTGATAAAAACATCCACCATTCTATTTGTATGTGTTAACTATACAAAGGGATGCATTTTTTATTCAATGATCTGTGCAAGCTGGGAGCTTATCATATTGGTCAAAACTTCGAAAAAAATGATGATGCACAAAATGTTCCAGGTGCGCTGTGTTTGAGTCCTTTTTTGATACTGTATCATATTTTCTGTATCAAAGCCCCTCATTTCCCCAAGTCTGCTAATTTAACCTCACCTTCTTTCCATCCTATATCTTAAACATTGAACAATGGTAAAAATATCTAAACCTTCCTAAATTATTATTATCATTTATCATCATTTTATATATATGTACATCTACCGTATTTTGAAACCTTTACTGAAACCATTGTCATACTGTATTTTGTTCAGTAATGAATGATAAAAATGTTATAAAACGTTCATTCAGCAGAACAGGGGGGAGAGCATGACACAAACACAACTGTCAAAACAGGACAGACGACAGGACATATAACCACAACCGTCAAACAGGACAGACGACATGACATAAATACAACTGTCAAAACAAGACAGACGCCATGACATATAAACACAACTGTCAAACAGGACAGATGGCATGACATATATACAACTGTCAAAACAGGACAGATGGTATCACACAAATACAACTGTCAAAACAAGACAGACGACATGACATATAAACAGAACTGTCAAACAGGACAGACGACATGACATATATACAACTGTCAAACAGGACAGACGACATGACATATCAACACAACTGTCAAACAGGACAGATGACATGACACAAATACAACTGTCAAAACAAGACAGACGACATGCCACATAAACACAACTGTCAAACAGGACAGACAACATGACATAAATGCAACAGTCAAAACAAGACAGACCACAAGACATATAAACACAACTGTCAAACAGGGCAGATGGCATGACATAAATACAACTGTCAAAACAGGACAGATGACATGACACAAATACAACTGTCAAAACAAGACAGAAGACATGACATATAAACACAACTGTCAAAAAGGACAGACGACATGACATATCAACACAACTGTCAAACAGGACAGATGACATGACCCAAATACAACTGTCAAAACAAGACAGACGACATGCCACATAAACACAACTGTCAAACAGGACAGACAACATGACATAAATGCAACAGTCAAAACAAGACAGACCACAAGACATATAAACACAACTGTCAAACAGGGCAGATGGCATGACATAAATACAACAGTCAAAACAAGACAGACGACAAGACATATAAACACAACTGTTAAACAGGACAGATGGCATGACACAAATACAACAGTCAAAACAGGACAGACAACATGACACAAATACAACTGTCAAACAGGACAGACGACATGACTTATATACAACTGTCAAACAGGACAGACGACATGACATATCAACACAACTGTCAAACAGGACAGATGACATGACACAAATACAACTGTCAAAACAAGACAGACGACATGACACAAATACAACAGTCAAAACAAGACAGACGACAAGACATATAATCACAACTGTCAAACAGGACAGATGGCATGACACAAATACAACAGTCAAAACAGGACAGACAACATGACACAAATACAACTGTCAAACAGGACAGACGACATGACATATAAACACAACTGTCAAACAGGACAGACGACATGACATATCAACACAACTGTCAAACAGGACAGATGACATGACACAAATACAACTGTCAAAACAAGACAGACGACATGACATATAAACACAACTGTCAAACAGGACAGACAACATGACATAAATACAACAGTCAAAACAAGACAGACCACAAGACATATAAACACAACTGTCAAACAGGGCAGATGGCATGACACAAATACAACAGTCAAAACAGGACAGACGACATGACATATAAACACAACTGCCAAACAGGGCAGATGGCATGACATAAATACAACAGTCAAAACAAGACAGACGACATGACATATAAACACAACTGCCCAACAGGGTAGATGGCATGACATATATACAACTGTCAAAACAGGACAGATGGCATGACATATATACAACTGTAAAAACAGGGCAGATGACATGACATAAATACAACTGTCAAAACAGGACAGATGGCATGACATATATACAAATGTAAAAACAGGGCAGATGACATGACATAAATACAACTATCAAAACAGGACAGATGGCATGACATAAATACAACTGTCAAAACAGGGCAGATGGCATGACATAAATACAACTGTCAAAACAGGACAGATGACATGACATATATACAACTGTAAAAACAGGACAGATGACATGACATAAATACAACTGTCAAAACAGGGCAGATGACATGACATAACAACAACTGTCAAACAGGGCAGATGGCATGACATATATACAACTGTCAAAACAGGACAGATGACATGACATTTATACAACTGTCAAAACAAGACAGATGACATGATATAAATACAACTGTCAAAACAGGGCAGATGGCATGACATAAATACAACTGTCAAGACAGGACAGATGACATGACATTTATACAACTGTCAAAACAAGACAGATGACATGACATAAATACAACTGTCAAGACAGGACAGATGACATGACATAAATACAATTGTCAAAACAGGGCAGATGACATGACATAAATACAACTGTCAAAACAGGACAGATGACATGACATAAATACAATTGTCAAAAAGGGCAGATGGCATTTATACAATTGTCAAAATAGGGGGGGATGGAATGACATATATACAACTGTAAAAACAGGGCAGATGACATTTATACAATTGTCAAAATAGGGCGGATGGAATGACATATATACAACTGTCAAAGTATAAGATATATCGATATATACATCAAAGCCAGTAATCAAGATAAGATGTGTTTTCAGCATGCTTTTAGTAAAAAGTGGATATCTATCGCATCATTAGAAGAGCTGAAAAATCGTTTAGTATCTACTCAGATTTACAAGGAAGCTGAAGTTTCCAGAAATGTTAGAATAATAATTTACATATATATGTGTAACATTGCAGAAAAAAATTGAAAACTAATCCCTGAAAGTTTTCTTCCTTTCCTTCAAAGAAATTGAATTCCTGTCTTTTTATCAACTGCTGTACCTAGTATATCAGTAATATTTCACACTAATATATAGGAGACTTTAGTGAAGTAAGTTTTCTTGATGACCTGAAAATCAAGTCGATACTGAAAATATATATCTCCTAGCGATATTTAACGTAGTTAATAATGACATGACCTGAAGCAAACGTCCAGTGTGGTCAGTTTCATCTAAGCCAGTGATAAAATAGCTACAACCGAAATAGTGCAATACCTGGGCCTTTCAGTGAGATTTAGTAAACTTGTACAGCACTACACGCTGTCAACCGACAACACAGTGTCAGTTATGAGTTCACACTTAACTCATTCTTGAATTTACACAATACATCGCAAGTAAGAATTATAAATATCATAATATGTACCTCTAATAAGATATTTCTGTTCCCATTTGGATTTGAATAGGTTCAATTAGAGCATGCACGCACTGAGAGGGTGCCGCAAACTGCAGAAATCACAAAATCAATAGGTTTAAACGTAAAACAGATCACTAATTTATAATTAAAACATTAGATGCTGTTGGAAGATGATTTTGATTCAAAATAGATGCATATACTTGTATTCAGAGAGGCTAGGCAAAAAAAAGTGAGAAGTTACCTTCTCTCCTCGACTGAAAGACATTTTTGTCTGTACAGTTAAGGATTTCTCCATTACTGATTAACAATCTAAAGAAAACATTGTCCCTTGTCAATTTCTCGACATGAATTGTTCATACGGAGTATCAAACTATATAATCATGAAGAGTTTTGTGACAAGGTTATAAAAAAAACTTACTTCGCTAAATTGTTTTTTTAAATGGATATTTTTTTTCCCCTCAGGGACAATGACCACACAAACATCATATATGTGATGAAATAATTGGTCAACAATTCCTTGACATTTTTATAAAACTATTTAAAAGCCAGTCAAGAAAAAAACTGGTTGGCAGATCAATTCAATCTAATAACTTTATCTATAACAGCTGAAAAAATCATCAAATGAGCAGCCAGCTTCAAAACTGTCCTTAAATTCTTTAACCAACAATCAATCATTTGCTGTATTAATATTGCTAAACTAACAGCGATTTCAATTACACATTCTACATAAACAATCACTCATTTCTGTTACATCCCGAATACCGATAGTTCACTTTCGTTACATCGTATCTATCTAATACATATTAAACCATGCATGCATAATAAGCGTGAACACCTGAATACTGCCACCCAACAATGTGAAAAGCATGACCTCGTGCAGGCTCCGTTTAAACTTCAACACCAATAATATGGAAATAATCATAGGACACTTTTACAACATAGCTGCAGGATGTCGACTGTTATGTACGTCGTCAAAAACCCCACCGATTATAGGCATCACCATCAATTCCGTCATAATACGATCAAAGTCATTTCACATGATGATGTCATTGATGGTGACTAGTGCATTACCTAGTCCAGCAATTGAATTAGACTATAACACATACTGATAGTTACATGTCAATTAAAAACAAACACCCATCAGAATATAAGGACTTCTAACTGCTCAATGTACAAATTGGTCATTTTGTTAAAAAAAATATGGGAGTTCTCAATTTTGTTTGTGTACCTTTTAGTGATAAATTTTGATCCTGTATAATTGATGATGTTTATCATGAACTATGAACGACATGGCTCCGTCGGTTTGGAGCGGAATATTACTCAAAGTACATTGTACATTGTCTATCGTATGGAGGACTTAACATAGCTCCTGCAGTACAAACCCGATAGGGCAGTCTAACACGGCAGTCTAACACGGCAGTCTAACAGTCTAACACGGCAGTCTAACAGTCTAACACGGCAGTCTAACTAACACGGCAGTCTAACACGGCAGTCTAACACGACAGTCTATCACGGCAGTCTAACTCGACAGTCTAACTCGGCAGGCTAACCCGGCAGTCTAACTCGGCACTCTAACACGACAGTCTACCACGACAGTCTTAACACGACAGTCTAACGCGACAGTCTAACTCGGCAGTATAACACGACAGTCTAACTCGCCAGTCTAACACGGCAGTCTAATCCGGCAGTCTAACACGGCCGTCTAACACGACAGTCTATCACGGCAGTCTAACTCGGCACTCTAACACGACAGTCTACCACGGAAGTCAAACACGGCAGTCTAACATGGCAGTCTAACTCGGCACTCTAACACGACAGTCTACCACGGAAGTCAAACACGGCAGTCTAACATGGCAGTCTAACACGGCAGGCTAACTCGGCAGTCTAATTCGGCAGTCTAACACGACAGTGTAACTCGGCAGTCTAACGCGACAGTCTAACTCGGCAGGCTAACACGGCAGTCTAATCCGGCAGTCTAACACGGCCGTCTAACACGGCAGTCTAATCCGGCAGTCTAACACGGCAGGCTAACTCGGCAGTCTAAGACGGCAGTCTAACACGGAAGTCTAACACGACAGTCTTAACACGACAGTCTAACGCGGCAGTCTAACTCGGCAGTCTAACACGGCAGTCTAACACGGCAGTCTAACACGAAAATAAACAGGAATTATACTAAATGAACTTGTGGATGAATATCACTTTGTTTTTGGTTGTTGTAGTGATTTTTAATATAAGGAGTATTTATCTTTAACTATTATCATTATTCTACCACACAAAATTGATGTTAGTTTTGCCTACAAATATCAAGGGAGACTATTCAAAATATTGCTGTTTCTGTTCCAAGGTAAAAAGGATAAGAAATCAGTTTTTATATAAAATAAGGTGCAACTTAAGTCTTATTATTGAACAATATCACAAACATATTTTTCATGCAAGTTTCAATGCATACTTTACCCTTAAAATGTCTGTTTGTACATTTAACAAGCCAAGTTTTTTTTGGTTATTTTTTACATCAGTGTTAATTAATATGTAGTATGTACTAATACATGCTTATCACATGCAGCAATTTTTACAGACAGATCTAGAGATACTGTAAATGAAAATAAGCCTATATATTTAGTCCAATGTTGCATTGATTTTTAAAAAACATTTCATACCATTACCAAATGCAATGTCAAAATATCATTAAAATAGGATATTCCAAGGCCAGCAAAATGATTGTCAATTAATTACAGCACTATTCTACAACATAACAGAAGAAACAACACATATACCGTGATTAGGTATGATACATGGTGGGTGAGGTAATCTGTGGCTGGTTGTAACTAGGCGTAGCATTCCAAGATAATACACCAGTTCTACAGTAACGTTACAATACCTGTACTTACTTGTAATTATAAGATGACCGTAAAATAGGATTTATTCTGAAAAAATTGAGTTATCAATCATTTCTTCTTGCGCTCAATTATCTCTGGCCTGTATATAGGGTCCTGAATACATGTACATCTATTACCAAATAGTTATTATTGTTGAAGACTTAAAAGAATTTCATGATTTTTTTCTTGCCGTCATAGAAAAATATCCATTGAATTTTTCATAAATCAGGGAAATATATGTGACCATACCGTATTTGACCACAAATAAGCTACTACCTCTAGTGAAAAAAGATTGAAAAAAAATACAAAAGTAGAGAGGGGGCTTATTTGCGAGTGAGGTCTTATTTGAGGTCAAATACATGTACAGTACATACAAGTGGAACTCGGATAATTCAGCCGTCTACAATCCCACCTACAAATGGCAGGATGTTTAAACAGCTTATTACGAATTATTGACACAGTTTTAACTGATATCATTGTTTTCTAAAAACAATGGCATAATCAGTGATTTGGATATAATGTATCTGCAAACTCATTAAAGATAAAACTTAAGCCTCTTACTGAAAACACACAACTAAAATCAACAAAATTAATCTTCAATTGGATCAAAGTTTTACTTTATACACAAACAATGTACATATTAACAGTGTCCCAACATTACAAGACCGACTGGTCCCTTTATCAAGGTAGGACAGTCATAGCTTGACAAAGGGACCAGTCGGTCTTGTAACATTGTCATACGTTTAATACATACACTCTTTGTATTTCAGTGAAAAAGAAAAACCTTGTCATCCATCGTTGCCAACATTTGCTCAGTAAAATTTTGACATTACATGTATAAAGGGTTTTGACCATAGATTAAGGAAACTCATTGTTTAGAAAAAATGAAAACGGGACCCTGGAATAGGTTTGAAGTATGAGTCAAGTAGCAAAAAGAAGGACCATTATGTCATTATACAGCTTGCGAGTGAACACCTAGATGAAGGATGAGGAGGCCATGTTGCTCGGGAAAGCTAAGGTTGGGGCCTGACCTCGGGAGCTGTTTCAGTTCAATGCTATATATAATTACCTAGCCCTGGATCCCAGTGAGGCTGTGCCTACAGTCTTCGGCTGATTGGTAGCTGTCTTGTGTCTGTAAAATAAATATTAAAATAAGCCTATACCGGGGGGAAATTAAAACAATTTTGATTGGCTGCGATCCCTCTATACATTCATTGATATTACACAATATTTACAAGATTTCATAGTGGCATCGACACATGACAGTAAAGGGGAGATCTAGAGTGAATAATGATTTGACAATTCAATTTGTAAATGACCAAGATTTTCAAACATTTTGGAAAATATCCATGTTTTGAATAATCTCATGATACGCTAGACAACTAAATAACAATATGGCACTCACTTTCCTAAAGAAAGGTCACAATTCTCTATCTTCTTTTAAAAACAGTAGGCAACAGAGGAGATGCAATCCTATATTTTCCCATTAGTAGGTGAGAAAAGGGAAAGACAAAACTGCTATAGCCGAGAGCTGGTAAACAGATTAACGGAAACAATATTGATGTCAAAAAGGATCATGGACAAAGATGAGCATGAGGGCAAAGTTTCAGGTATTAAGAACTTAAGATAAAATACATATCAAAATTGGTGTTACCTTTCAGGGTAGAGTCTGCTGTGCAGCATGAAGTTATTTGTGCTAGAATACTGAAGAAAGGTTGAGTACAGATCCCAGGAGTCAGGAGTAGGAAAGATCCGAACCCAGCCACCACTCCGACCCTCCTCCTCCTTCACACGGCGTAAAATCTTTATTTCTTCACTGGTCAGACCAGACATTCCTCCAGGTTTGTCCGAGTTGGAGCCTCGTTCTGAGTTCCTTGAAGATGTCCGAGTGTTATTGGAAGAGCCTGCTGACATTGGCCTTTGTTTCTACAAAAGTAGAGAAAGATGATCTTTAAGTTAAGTTTTCCTTATGTTCAAGCTGTTTCTATTTTAGGACAGAACAAAATCTTCAGCAACATCTGCATTAGCAATCTAACAAATGATAATACAATTTCCTGTTTAAATCAAGCCTGAATATTTCAATTTTCACTCAAGAGAAAACATTCATGTTAATTACTTTAATTCCAATTATGATATTTTAATTGAGATTAAAAATAAAATAATGGCAACTAATTACAATCATAACTAATTCCGACCCCTTGATATCCTATATTATAAACATGTAAACACCTATCACAAGAAATTTGACATCACAAACACGAGGAAAGGTTCAGAAAGAAGTACCATTTCAGATGTAACCCTATATGTAATATAGAACACAATACTGAAACTAGACAAATGGATAATGAAATTTGTTCTGTAGCTAATTTTGTTCTTCAAATTTAAACAGAAAAATATACGGTAAGAATGTGTTCTATATATGGCCCTTATACCCTTTATAAGAAAATTTTAAAAAACGCAAAAAAAATTATATTTTCAAACACATTAACATTTCCTGTACACGTACTTCAATCCTTTGCTACACACTAGCGATAACACCAAGCTACCAAAAATAAACCAAAAAAAATACAAAATTCACAACAAACAACAACAACAACAACAAAAAATCCTATTTTAAAAAAATCACCCAACCAGCAGAAATTGAAAAAAAACGATATTGAAGAAAAAATGACAAAGCCACAAGGATAGCGTTTCTAATTAGCCCCAGTAACTGATGGAGAGCAATCCATTGGTGAGGAGATTAGCACTTTGTGGTATATAATAAGGTAGTACTGACACAGAAAAGGTTTATAAAACGAACATATGTCCCTGCTTTGATGGAAATGGAGCTATGAATGCAATGTGAAGCTGAAACTATAGGTCACAGAGATGGCAGTACATGTACTCCTAAAGATATATCTACACGTCAAGTTTGATGAATTGGTGGACTTCTAGTATCAAAGAAATGGAGTTAAACGCAAAGTCTATCCAAGATGTGCAGTACAAACAGATGCAGATTGACCGACAAAATGACAAAAACGCAATGCCTCTCTCGACTGATGTGGCTTGTTCGTGATTTACGACCTATTGTTACAGCTATGGGGATTTAAGGACCAGCCAGGTTTGGGCAGGGAATGAAAAATTAATAAACGACACTTAGGAATCCCAGTACCACTGCCAAAGAACTGTAACTAAGTATTGGTGACTGTTTTTTCCAGTATGACTATACATATGAAATAAACAAAGTATAAAGCAACAAAAGTGTTCTGGGCGTAAAAATTTAGTGAGGTCAGACTAGGATTTGTACCATAGACTACTTCAGGTTGTTATACTATCGCTCTCACTGACTGAGCAACAGTTGTATCCAAACGAAAGTTAACCCCTGAAGACACATTTGAACCCTTCCAATTCAAAGGTTGGAATAGTTCATTATGAAACTTCAGGGGAGGTTACTGTATATAGGGAAACCCCCCACACTGCAGTTGGATACGGATCCCTAAATTGACTTTAAAGGAAACGTCAATAGAGTGACAGTTATCACAGATTTGACAGCATTACACTAAGCTGGAGCAGACAACAAAGTAACAACACGGCTGTAACGGGAAACAAAGTTCCGACAACGCTGTAACAAAACAGTTACAGCATGTCTGTAAACGACGACAGAGCATAACAGCAAGATATGGCTTGTAAGTACCAACCCGCAAACTCAGAGATGGTTTAGAATCCTGAAATCAAAAATCATTATCACATTTTAAAACTGTTAAATGTTACTGAATGCGACATGAAGATATTCCACCTGACGCCTTTACAACCTGTTAGTTTTACTAATAAATTACAGTCTACAATTAGATACATTAGATCTGATTTAGAAATTAAAATGCACCATTAAGTAAAACCAGTACTTCAAATATACATGTTAATACATAAATTCATGATTCAATCAAAGAACAATATGGCACTCAATTTTCACAAGGAAGGTCAAATTTCACTATCTTCATTTACAAACAGACAGTAGACAAAAGAAGAGAACCCAAGAATGATTCTCTGATGTACCAAACCACCTTTACCTAGTATAGGTTCCAGTCTCAATGTGAAATATTATTAGACTCTTTCATGCCCAGGGGTGTAGGATAGGGAGATTCCACTCCAGGGTATTTCAAATATGGTAAAACTCAAGGCCAAGGTGTTTGCCAAATTTATAAACCCTGAGGGTGGAATTTCCCTTACCTACACCCTTGGGCATAAAAGAGTATTTTTCTCTCATTCCAACTACCAGAATAAGCTCAAAAACTGTAAAAATATGTTTGGAATGGCGTCAATTTTGAAAATATAAATTTTCCACCTTAGCTTTTTAGACGAAATCAAATCAGTCGGCCAGATTTACCATACCTCATATTTGCATACAAAATGATTTGTCTCATCTTTCTTACATGAGCGGTAAATAAATAGTAATTGGTATTAATTTCATCACGACACCTTTTCCGCATTGCGGCATCAGAGTTTTCCAAGTTTGTGATGTCACGTCACGTGAAACGGGGTGTAGGATAGAAGTTTCCAAAACCCCTTTATTACCCTGGACAGCTCTATCTTAAACACATGGAAATGAGAGAAAACTCTATGCATCAAGCTAAATTATAACAAACTTTGTAGTTGCTAAGATTCACCATGACTTTGTATATTCGTAATCACACAAAAATTGTTTGACTTCTACAGCCAAACCCCCTTCGGTTCAATTTGTACAGCCAAACCCCCTTAGGTTCGATTTGTACAGTCAATACCCTGTTAGGGTCAGATTGTACAGTCAATACCCTGTTAGGGTCAGATTGTACAGTCAACCCATTTAGGGTCAGATTTGTACAACCAACCCATTTAGGGTCAGATTTGTACAACCAACCCATTTAGGGTCAGATTTGTACAGTCAACCGACCTCTGGTTAGATTTAATTTGTACAGTCAACCCATGCCACTTAGGGTCAGATTTGTATAGCAAAACCCACCTCAATAGGCAAAAGTTGAAGGTATCAGGAAAACTACTTATCCAAGTGTTCAAGCTTACCGCATCTTGATATTCTGGATATTCAAAAAGTTAAATGATACTACTCCGATCTACTCGTCAACGTTTCCAATTAAATATATTAGCACCAACAAAGCACACACACGTTCACGCAGGGCCCAGATAGACTTACCATGGAGGCAGAAGTGGGTCTGAATCGTGCAGACTGGAAAAAAGGCAGGTTGAGTGAAGGCAGTGTTATATCGACATGCTTGTTTTTACTACAGGTGTGGTGTACAGGACATGGGGTGGAAAACCTCTCCTACCAGCTAAGTCATTGACGGGCTGAATATCACTTCACATAGTTATGGAAAATGTATGTAACTGCAGAGGCTGAGAGGCTTAACTTTTCATTAGGCATTTTAGTGACAAGATCCGGAGCTTGCACAATTAGTGTTTGTGGAAAATTATATGTAATAATGTGAATAGAACCAAAACTAAATCTTTCATAAAGTGTTGTAAATAGTTCCTGATTTTTATTAACTTTCAATGCAAAAAAAAAACAACCAGAGAGGGTTTCCACTTAATTCAGATTATTTTGAGAACGATTGTGAGAAATCTAAAACGGGAAATATTTTGGCAGAAATCATTAATGTAGGCTATCTAAGGAAGTTTTGTTAGGGATGATTTCAGAAAAACATGCGACACATGAAATCAGTCGAGGAATACATTTTGTTACAAACTCAATATCAGGGTAAAAGAAACTTGAATTTCACACTATAAGTGTTCAACAGATTTCCCACAATCTATACAAATATAGTGGTATCATGCATATAGGCCTACTACATGCCAACACATACATACAGACAAATCTAAATTATAACATGTATATATTACACACAATAATAATCATGCTGTCTTATGAATATTTGTCTTACAACAGTCCATGCTACTATATACTGTGCTTCAATCTTGATTTCTTTAAACCTCCCTCCCCTTCAATAATCATATTGGAACGTTCCAATTTCAAGAGGCATTTTTATACAAAGTTAAATCTTAAACACGAACAGAAAACATATTTTCATTTTCTTTAAAAAAAATCTTTTGCTTTTTACCAAATTTTAGAAGTCAACATCAAAGTGCCAAATGTGGGTGAATATTGAGGTTCAATATCAGAACACAAGACTATTAACTCTAGAAAAGGACAAATTGTGCAAAATAAGTGAAACATGAGCTATTTTAACATATAAGCCACCTAGGGATGAATATTTTTATCTAAATTTAACATATTTTGGAAAAGATCTTTGCATTCTCTCAAAGCATTCTGGCAATATAATAGTCTTGAGAAATGCACACAGACAAGGCAAAGCTGAACTAATGAACAGCTAATGAACTGCTTGCTAAGCTAATATACTTGCATGCTAGTCAATGGAGATAGTTGGGTGAGAAACACACTTTCATACAGTAATGAACACTTATACTTGGAGAGAAGTTAGATGTCTAGGGTTAATGACATATGAGTTTATGATGAAGATCTACGTATACCAAGGATGTCTGCTTACCTTCGCCCGGGACGCAATTTTGGCAGTGACTTCTTGATTTCGTCTGCTCTGCTGAAGCGTCCTCATCATTGGGTCATGGCATATGATGCCTGTAATATTATTACAAATAACTCTACGACTTGTAATATTATTACAAATAATACCTGCAATGTCATAGTAAACTCAACATGAATTAAATTTCACCCATTACATACATTGCAGTAAGACTGTGAGGGCTGTTTCGGCTCAACAATTCAAGACTTTTGATGGAGAATGGAAAACAATCTCTGGACACTGAACAAATAACAATGACAGAGACCAACCTTTTTATAATATTTTTTTATCAACATAAAACTCTCATGAAAGGAAGATATATGTTCATTGTCTCCAGTATATATTCCAGCAGTTTGCAAGAAGGAATATTGAACAAATTCTAGTACTTCGACCTTTTTTTCAATTTTGTTTCTAAGTGCTTACCTTGATTCCAGCATTTTTCTGTTTTCATGTTTATATAAGCCATGTGATAACATTCTATACAATATATCAGAAATGGGAAGACATTGCTTTATTGTGTTACATTGTATGTGTTTCATTTTTGTATATTAAGGGAAAAACGCAAAACACTTCCAAATTTAAGGTCCATGAAAATGAAAGTGTTTGTGACATCAATAAAAGTCCAGTTAATAATAACCTGACCTCAAAATCAAAGGTCAAGGTCAACATCTTGTCGTTATCCAATGGTAACACAGGGTGTGTAGTTAATATCAATTCTATATAATACATTTTACTACATTAATGTGCCTGGCTATGTTTGAGTAAAACCTGTGAAAGACCATAATACACATAGTTTCAGAGTTGGTTTGAATTTGTTAAGCAGTTTTTGAGGATTAGCAGTTTTTCTGTTCTAGGTGACACTGGTTTACAACTGACTTACCTGAAAGACTAAATAGATCACAGATTAGGTTTGTCTTTATCTTCAAATCAAGTGGAGCATCACTGTAAAACATCAAAGGATTAATGTAACTACCCAGTAATTTACCCAGCTCAAATACTTATACAGAACACAGAAGGTAAAATATTATTACTTTCTTAGTAAAAATTGGATGAAATTTATATTTCACCTTGATAACATGCCACACCAGAAAAAGCCACGATGATCATGACTACTCATGGAAAATGTTTTGCTCTAACACAGGACAAACAATTCTCACATATACAATATTCATCTTTATTTTATATTTCCCAAGCAAAGTACTGACATTTTCCAAAACAGGACAGATATTTTCCCCCACACAGGATCAAGTAATATTTTTTCTAACAAAGGATGTGTATTACTTTTAAAAAGAAAATACAAATTGCTGTTATCATTTCTAAACAACTTTGCTAGGATAGGCGATAGCTACAGCAAAATATTTTAGGTTGTAAAATATTCACTGCTACTAATATTCACAACTGCTTTGTTCCTAACCAAAGTCTGTTGTAATACACGGTCATTAGGACCAAAAAGGCTACGGTTCTATTGTCAGCTTTCAAATAAATAGGATTGGTAGGTAGGCACTATTTTTGCAAAATAGACAGTGTTTTAGACTTAAACAATTCCGTTTACAAAGTGATATACAGACAGTATTTCAGCCTTGCAGTACTTGCTCAATAGAAGACAAAATCTAGAAAAAATCTATATGACATGATAAAGTATATTGGGAAAATTACATATTTTTGGTCCGTGTTACATTTTGTCATATTAAAGGCCAGTCTGTTAGTGGTACCTACCAGGCTAAGGACGGAGACAAGTTGACCTCTAGCACCCACGGTTTCATGTTGTCGTCAATGAGGACATCAAAACCGTACAATTCTGTAATGGACACGGATCAAACGTTATACCACATTCAGTATCACAGTACATGTAGTACCACTGTAACAGTGTATAAACCATGTATTGTAACAGTTATACCACATTCAGTACCACAGTACATGTAGTACCACTGTAACAGTGTATAAACCATATATTGTAACAGTTATACCAGTCAGTACCACAGTACATGTAGTACCCCTGTAACAGTGTATAAACCATGTATTGTAACAGTTATACCAGTCAGTACCACAGTACATGTAGTACCACTGTAACAGTGTATAAACCATGTATTGTAACAGTTATACCAGTCAGTACCACAGTACATGTAGTACCACTGTAACAGTGTATAAACCATGTATTGTAACAGTTATACCAGTCAGTACCACAGTACATGTAGTACCACTGTAACAGTGTATAAACCATGTATTGTAACAGTTATACCAGTCAGTACCACAGTACATGTAGTACCACTGTAACAGTGTATAAACCATGTATTGTAACAGTTATACCAGTCAGTACCACAGTACATGTAGTACCACTGTAACAGTGTATAAACCATGTATTGTAACAGTTATACCAGTCAGTACCACAGTACATGTAGTACCACTGTAACAGTGTATAAACCATGTATTGTAACAGTTATACCAGTCAGTACCACAGTACATGTAGTACCACTGTAACAGTGTATAAACCATGTATTGTAACAGTTATACCAGTCAGTACCACAGTACATGTAGTACCACTGTAACAGTGTATAAACCATGTATTGTAACAGTTATACCAGTCAGTACCACAGTACATGTAGTACCACTGTAACAGTGTATAAACCATGTATTGTAACAGTTATACCAGTCAGTACCACAGTACATGTAGTACCACTGTAACAGTGTATAAACCATGTATTGTAACAGTTATACCAGTCAGTACCACAGTACATGTAGTACCACTGTAACAGTGTATAAACCATGTATTGTAACAGTTATACCAGTCAGTACCACAGTACATGTAGTACCACTGTAACAGTGTATAAACCATGTATTGTAACAGTTATACCAGTCAGTACCACAGTACATGTAGTACCACTGTAACAGTGTATAAACCATGTATTGTAACAGTTATACCAGTCAGTACCACAGTACATGTAGTACCACTGTAACAGTGTATAAACCATGTATTGTAACAGTTATACCAGTCAGTACCACAGTACATGTAGTACCACTGTAACAGTGTATAAACCATGTATTGTAACAGTTATACCAGTCAGTACCACAGTACATGTAGTACCACTGTAACAGTGTATAAACCATGTATTGTAACAGTTATACCAGTCAGTACCACAGTACATGTAGTACCACTGTAACAGTGTATAAACCATGTATTGTAACAGTTATACCAGTCAGTACCACAGTACATGTAGTACCACTGTAACAGTGTATAAACCATGTATTGTAACAGTTATACCAGTCAGTACCACAGTACATGTAGTACCACTGTAACAGTGTATAAACCATGTATTGTAACAGTTATACCAGTCAGTACCACAGTACATGTAGTACCACTGTAACAGTGTATAAACCATGTATTGTAACAGTTATACCAGTCAGTACCACAGTACATGTAGTACCACTGTAACAGTGTATAAACCATGTATTGTAACAGTTATACCAGTCAGTACCACAGTACATGTAGTACCACTGTAACAGTGTATAAACCATGTATTGTAACAGTTATACCAGTCAGTACCACAGTACATGTAGTACCACTGTAACAGTGAATAAACCATGTATTGTAACAGTTATACCACAGTCAGTACCACAGTACATGTAGTACCACTGTAACAGTGTATAAACCATGTATTGTAACAGTTGTATGACTATAACAATGTATACATGTACAACCACTCAAAGTGACACTAATAACTGATGTTACAAGCAAAGATATCACCGGTACGTACATTACAGGATGGAAATGTCACATTGTATTCGTCCAAACAAACATTCACCTGTATTACCAGAAACAACATTGAACAAATATGTGATGTAGTTATTGAAACATTTTCATTTGGAACATTCTTTTGACGAAGGTTATATTGAGCTGTTCTCCTTAGCTACTTCAACAATGTTTGTTTAAAACTGATACCATTAAACTGTGCAGGGTAAGGCACATAATTTCAGGTTTAATGTAGGGATACTAGACCCACATTAATACAGCATCATATTCTTATTGTAACCGAGTACTTGAGACTATGTCTTACCAAAACAGTTTCCTCGGAACGGCATGAACATCTTACACGCTGTGGCGATCGGCAGTTCTACCGAGAGTATAGACTTGATGACCACATCCTCTATCCTCATCATTAAAGCTACAAATACAATAAATACAGTTGTCTACATAAACTAACAGACGGCAATACAGGATACTGAGCCAAACCATACTACAGATATACCAAGATTTTATGTGTCTACCGTACCTTATTGTTTTCTTGGTTTAACAAAAAACACTTATAAGTTGTTTTAAATAGACAAAGTAAAAAGACATCATCTAGTGTTGTCCCAATGATCAATCATGATAGAAAGATTGAAGTTGCTGAAAACGTATTAAATTTTAGATAATTATCAATGAATGGCTTTATATATGTGTAAGGTGACTAAGCAAAGGTACTGCCGATGACCACACCGGTACATGTAACTCAGTTGGCTAGAGAGACAAATGTATTAACGAGTGAAAGTCCAGTGTTTGAACCCTGGTCTTGCAACACTACATTTTCCTTATCAAGACACTGTTGATGATTCTTATTCTTATTTTTTCTTTCAGAAATGACTATGAAAGCTACAGTCATGCTGGGAAAATTTCGAACGCATAGTTTAAATTTTTGGCAGTGGTACATACATGTGTAAACAGTTCTGTATTCCTTACAAGTGGACCCTATGGGCTTACCTGTTGTGTCACGACCTTGAGAGAGATCTGAGGTATCGTAACCTACTTGTCGTGTCACGGCCATTACATCGCAGGTATTGTGATCACTTACTTGTCGTGTCACGACCGTGATATTGGAGGAATCGTAACTAACCTGTCGTGTCACGACCATGAGATCGGAGGTATTGTGATCACTTACCTGTCGTGTCACCACCATGAGATCAGAGGTATTGTGATCACTTACCTGTCGTGTCACGACCGTGAGATCGGAGGTATCGTAACTAACCTGTCGTGTCACGACCATGAGATCGGAGGTATCGTAACAACGCCCCTAGTGACCATTTGTTGCCGTAGTCCTCAACATCAGGGTCATCATTTCTAATAGATATAAAACAGTCCCTTTCAATTTAACGTGCACACTCAAACAATCAGATATGTCAAGACATATATATCCTCAGATATATTTATACATATAAGACATAAATTTATGTTCAAGACAAATATCTGTACATGTCTTAGCAAAGGGCATATATTGGGCTACATGCTTGCCTCTGTTGTTCTCAGGAACACTCTCAGGCCTAGTTTTACAATGGATGTCCTTTTATGGGCATGCCTGATCATTTTACCTTCATTATGTGTTCTTATCATAAGGAACTTTCTACTTGTGAGTAAACTTTGAATCATAAATATATTAATTTATTTATAAGTAAAGGAATTAATCATTATTTCCAACCAATCCTTGTCCATTATACTGGACAACAGGATGACCACCTATATACTGGACAACAGGAAACTGGACAACAGGATGACCACCTATACTGGACAACGGTGAAATAACACACAAATACTTTGTCCATTTCCCCTGGCCAGTGTAAGCAATGAGTATATGTAGTATCACAATATGATTAAATAGTTTTTGAGACATACTCGAGAAATGATAAAGAAGATCTTGATTATTTTATTTTGTTGTTAGCAAGGATAATATAAACATTGATCCCCACTTACCGAACATAATCGTCACTTTTCTTGTTGACGCTGTAGTTAGTCAGATGCATACATTGGTTACGTATGTGCCGGCCACTCTTCTCATACTTAACTGTGGCAAACCTTGAAAACAAATAAATCAATCTTACTTCAGGTCTATGTCCAATAATGTCTAATTAACATGCAAATCTAATACACAACATAATGGAAATACAAGCTATTTTCTCAATACAGCAAAAATGAAAATATAAACATTATGAACATTCTCAATTTCTGACAGTGAAAGAAAAAAGTAACTAATACGACAATCCACAATGTATTGAATAGAATGTTTCTACAGAGGTTGAACCAAAGTAAATTTATTTAACCAATCAGATCACATTTGGTATAACTGTCAGTAATCTCTGATCTAGTATATTGATAGATAACCAGTGGCTGGCCATATATAACTTACCTTGTGAGATCTGCCTCGAACAGATAGATGACTAGAAGTTGACCATGTATACCTTACCTTGTGAGACCTTCCTTAAACAGATAGATGACCACAAGTTGACAGTGTATACCTTACCTTGCGAGACCTTCCTCAAACAGATAGATGACCAGAAGTTGACCATGTATACCTTACCTTGTGAGACCTACCTCAAACAGATAGATGACCAGAAGTTGACCATGTATACCTTACCTTGTGAGACCTTCCTTAAACAGATAGATGACTAGAAGTTAACCATGTATACCTTACCTTGTGAGACATTCCTTAAACAGATAGATGACCAGAAGTTGACAATGTATACCTTACCTTGTGAGACCTTCCTCAAACAGATAGATGACCAGAAGTTGACCATGTATACCTTACCTTGTGAGACCTTCCTCACACAGATAGATGACCAGAAGTTGACAGTGTATACCTTACCTTGTGAGGCCTTCCTCAAACAAATAGATGACCAGAAGTTAACCATGTATACCTTACCTTGTGAGACCTTCCTTAAACAGATAGATGACTAGAAGTTAACCATGTATACCTTACCTTGTGAGACCTTCCTTAAACAGATAGATGACTAGAAGTTGACAGTGTATACCTTACCTTGTGAGACCTTCCTCAAACAAATAGATGACCAGAAGTTAACCATGTATACCTTACCTTGTGAGACCTTCATTAAACAGATAGATGACTAGAAGTTGACCATGTATACCTTACCTTGTGAGGCCTTCCTCAAACAAATAGATGACCAGACCTTAACCATGTATACCTTACCTTGTGAGAGCTTCCTCAAACAGATAGATGACTAGAAGTTAACCATGTATACCTTAACTTGTGAGACCTTCCTTAAACGGATAGATGACTAGAAGTTGACAGTGTATACCTTACCTTGTGAGACCTTCCTCAAACAGATAGATGACTAGTGGATCATAAGAGGTAACACAAACATACAGGCGCACATCGAACTTAAATCCTGTCAAATAATCAAAACACATAATGAATATACTGAAAAGTTGAAGAACATTTAGTAAAACAGAGAATTAGACAAGGACCAAGTTTTTTTTGAAACTTTTACCATGAAAAGAGGAAATTGTCTGACAGCAAGTAGATGAAATTATTTTCAGTCAATTTATACTAGTTAACTTACCATCAATAAGGAGAGGCTGATTAAGATAGCGACAAACAATGAGATTCTCATCCAACGGTACCTGGTCCGGCTACAAACCACAATCATTTACACGTTTATTTACATCTAAGAAAGTAAACAATCAGATACCTTCGAGTAATGATATACCCTGTAAACACACATATTAGAAAATGATACATTTTCAGCACCCTCAGATAATATCAATTTTATGAAAATAGCATCTAGAATCAGTTTATCACATTATAATTGTCCATATTAAAATTAAATAAAAATCTGCAATCAGTACAAAAACCAAAGTTAAATATGGTAGCCCGAATTAAGATTTCTGTTCATATAATTAGCATCACACACAAACTGTTTAACATTTATATTTTAAAAATTGACAGTGGCTACCATTATTTCTGAGTTAGGATGACAGTTCATCATGATCAAAAGGGTTTCATACATTGACATTGTATTACGTATACTTTTAATATGTTCAGGTTGCTGTCTTTTCAATTAAGAAACAAAATCAAAATCATGTGTTTTGCCAGAGGAAAAATGTCAAAATTGCACAGGAAGAAGACTAGTCTCGGCCACATTTATATCACTAAAGAAAGGAGAATAACTTCTCAAATTAAAGTTAAACATTTGATATATATACCATCATGAAACAAGGGACAGTGTATTAAGATTTTATTGTATCCAGACTTACATGATTACACAGAAATACACCTCTCCCTCTTGAAGATGCCACTGGCTTCACGATCCAGGTACCTTTCTCTCGTAGAAATGCGGCTACAAAATGGAGACGGATTAAACATTGACCTGAACGCTTGAAAATTAAGAACATATCAACACTTGTTATTCAACACTAACAAGCTACCATTATGTACTTAGTGCCTCGAATAACCTCACCCTTTCTGAACTTATATAAGACTATAATGAACAAGCAGGGACTAATGCAGGAATCTCTATAGATTGTACGTGCTCAACTGCATAACATGCGTTCTGAGATCCATAGTTATCTCAAAATTAGAAAGTAAAACGTACCCAAAATAATATAAGGATACTTACCGCAAAAACCATATGTTTTTAAAAGTACAAAAGTCTTTAGATACTTGCAACAAACATTTAAAAATACTTACCACAAAAATCTTTAAGATACTTGCAACAAACATTTAAAAATACTTACCACAAAAATCTTGGTATTCACTTGGCAGTATAAAGCTTGATGGCAAAATGTCAAAATGTTTCAGTCCCTGAAAAGATAAATATGAACTTGACGTTTCATTAATGTTAAATCACTTACTGCAAGTTACATACATTTGGCGAGACATGTACTTTCCCATTAATTCACATCAGTTTTAGTAGAGTTTAGAACAGTGTTATTTGTGATATTCTGGTCAGCAGCTGTATCAACTACACGCCTCAATGTGTGATTGTTTCCACTGTGGCATCACCACAGTATCAGTGGGACTATAGAAATTACTCCCATAGATTCTCACGTAATTAGTAAAACACACAAGAGCTTTACAGGGTTATCTACCTTTATCTGCTGCATTCGCTGTACATTCTTGTAGAGGCGATCCTTTCGGGTCAGTTCGTATGAGCGAGGGAAGTGGTTGATTTTCTGGAACTCTGTAAGGCTGCGTAGCGTGAAGGGTTTAAGATGGCCCCCGGTCCAGATAAAGTTGTAGTCGGAGCTGTTGGGGTGGACCTTAACACAACAATCATGTTAATCAGTCTGTGAGTTTATATATTAGAGAAGATAATCTAACCAACAAGAGAATAAAGTTGAAAGCAAAGCATATTGCATATCATGCTATGCAACAACTATCCCTGCCTTTTTGTTACTATTTAAAAAAAAAAATGTGGGGTGGGGGGGGGGTTGTTATAGCAGAAATTGGGGTAACAAAATAAGCAGTCACCCAAAATACATATCTTACTCAAAGCAATATTCCCAAACATTTATAGCTATATAGTATTGAAGATAGTTTTTAGCAGAAATCACCTTTGAAAATGTGTTGCCATTTCTCTTTCATGCAATGATACATCGATCATTGCTGACACCTTAAAAAGTAGTTTTTTTCCCCTTTTTTTGTTTGTTACTATACGGGTCTCAAGTTTTGCATTAATTGAAGTTTGTATACAATTGGTTGAATTTCGATCACTCAAACAAGACCATTAGTGGAGGCCTAACCCTAACCCTAACCCTAACCCTGGGGGAGGATTCAAGTATACCATAACAGCAAAGAAACTGTAAAATAATCTCAACTAACATCATTTGAGAGAAAAACAAATGGAGATTTTTATAGCTCAGAAATACCAATTGCAAATATAGACCTGTATGCTAGTAACTTCATCAGTATTAAGCTTACCTCATGAAATCCGTGGAAGTTGAGAATGGTTCTCACAACTTTGCATTCTGAGTTTCCAAATTTATAGGCAAGATGATATCTCTCTGAAGTAGAATGAATTTATTAAGACAAGTTTAGTCAATGTCACCATAAAAAGATAATCACACCAAGCAATATGTGAAATTAGGATTAGCTTCAAGCCTTGAGAAATATCATCAGGTTACAAGTATGATATTAGTCCTGAATGCATCTGCAAATATTTTAAAAGAACAAAACCTAAATTGGGACAAGGATACCAAAATTTAAATTTTCTCACTAAAATGTTATGTTGATTACTGTATCAATCTGCTTATTATTTAATAATTAATAATAATGATTTGAGGTTCTTATATACCGCATTATCACAACCTAGTTCGTAGGTCATCTCAAAGCGGTTCACAAATTATTATCCGTGGTTATAGGGCCTTTGCAACCAGCCAATACCTTTCTCAACTCCCTGGGGAGCATACAGCTGGTGCTGCCATTTCGGCGCTCACAGCTAGCATTCAACAATTCTAGCACTGCCCAGCCACGTACTCATTTAATGCTGAGTAGATTGGAACAAGCGGAACACAGTGGCGTGCCTCCAACCCGCAACCCTTTGGTCACGAGCCCAGCATCCTACAACTAGTGCCTCCTATGTGATGGTCAATTTAAATTGAATTGAATATTCAAAGAAAACGTCACTGCCAATACAATGTAATGCAGTTAAAAGGATTCATTACTTATTAGAGATTTTCGCTATCATTCTGGTATATTCCAGTCTGATGGATAGTTACCTCCCACAGGTTTGAGGTTGCCCTTCTTTGCTAGCACCAGCTCCGGGTTGAAAGTGACAACCGGTGTCTTCTTTCCGTAGCCTGTCCACTGGATGTTTAACGTCTCCTGATGCCTAACATTGGAAAGAATTTATTATTTTTATAATTACTGTAAACATGTCTATGTTTTGGATATTTTCTTAAATCTAGTAAATATAATGTTAATATTTGTATACAGTCATGTAAGCTAACATGTTATTTGAAAAACAAATCGTTTATTCATTTTTATACTTAACACATGTATGACTAACTAACTAACATAACTATTAAAAACAATAAGGCCAAATGGAAAATATTGATTGTTTCCAGTCATACTTTATTAATATAGCCTCGGAAAAAAACCCAACTTGGTACATGTACTGATAAACTGATATTGTTTTTTAATTTTAGGTACGTCCACATGATAATTCTAACTCAATCATAAAGAGTCGTCATGTTACTTATATTCAACTTTACTTTAAATTTATAGTGCCTGTTGAAAATTTCTGATGGACAGGGAAAAACATTAGGTTAGGTAGGGTTACAAACTTAAGGTTTTCTTACTACATTTTGTATTATTATAATGTCAAAAAAATATTAAAAAAAAAATCAGGCAAGTTCTGAACATGAATGTCAAAATATTGATGAGTCCTATATATTACTAAGAGATATAGTGGATTTTAAAACAAATTTTGGGAGTCCCCACAGGAAATGAAAATGACTTAATAAAGGTTGATTTCCAGGATTCTTTATATTACTGACAGATGTCTTAACATGTTTCTAATTGATTCTAAATAAAAGAGTGAAGGATTTAATTTCAGGATGAAAACACTGAAAACTATCGCTGCAAACAAGAGAGCACTAACTATATATGTCAACTCAATTATGAAGTGTATAAAACTTTGGGTGGAATAAATTGAGATTGGTGCCAAGGGAAATCTCTGTAACTTATAGAACCATAGGTCAAAGTGTATCACTAGAATACAGAGGTTTATTGAGGAAGACATGGATATGTGTGGATCTTGTCATATAGATGTGGAGGAAAATGAAAATAACACACGATCTGCACTCGTCAACAACAGCACATCAGAAAAGTTGTGTCGTTACACAAATTTGAATACAGATGCTCTAATGAGTTATAATACTTATAAGTACACAAGCACTAGTATGCAGATTCAATAAAACATCACCTTTATACTAAATTAAAAAAAAAAGTTTTTCACATCTTATTTAAAATTCCTTGCAAGAAAAGTGCCAGAGGTCTCAGTATATACAATTTCATGTAAGATGTTTTCGAGTAATTGTCAACAGACAGATTTTGAACGATTTTACTAACTAGCTAGGCCAGTCTATAATTTCAAATATGAAACATTTCACTAGACCAGACAAAAATTTACAACAGGTCAGACTAGAGAAATTATTATACTCCTGCAATTTTTATCAACTGTCAACTTATGTATTTCACTAAAAAATAACAAATCCTTTTTTTTTGCTTTTCTTCACATAAAAAAATAAATGTCTGATTGGAAAAGGGGACAAATTTTAGTAAAGTTCACATAACAGTGAAAAAAATCATGTTTGTCATATATGTATACATTAAACAGAGTTCTGTTTTTAAACTAGCAAACATGCAACAGAAACGACAAAAGATACACAGGTAAGTGTTATAATTCAGTCTGTCTACATGGATCAGCACAACATTATCATATTATATTCACAGGTAAGTGTTATAATTCAGAAAACTCTGTCTACATGGATCAACACAACATTATCATATAATATTCAACACTATGATATTATATAGGAAAGGTGGTATATTTGAGAAAAGGTCACTCAGAAACAAATGAGAAGACAGGTATCGTGTGTCTGAGTGCAGGTTAATTAACTAATACATTTAGTATACCTTCCATATCTTAACCGATGTCGACGTCGACGTCTAGAAAAAAATTATAACAACTTTGACAAACAAATTTGGAATTATTATTGGGTTGAAACTTATAATCATGAACAGAATATAAATTCTTTTGAATTGTCAAATGGCTTGGTTATATGCAGGAAACATGTGACTGTTCAAATACAAATTGGGAAAAAATCTTCATACAATATGCATTAATTAACCAAAACATGTCAATCTATTATAAAACTTGAAAATCATTTATTTGTGATCCAATATATGGTTGCATTATTTTTTGCATTTTTAGTATCCTTATTTTGAAATTGTCATAGTTTAAGGAAAATTCAATATAGCTTTAATTTCTCTGTGGGAAGAACAAGTGCATTCAGTCCATCAATACATTCTATCTACTCAGTTCATTTGGTAAGGAACAAGCCCTCTGGGCCTTTGACATTTAAGCATCAAAATTGTGATAAAACATAGACATATTGTCATAAAATAAAAAAGTAAAAAAAATAAAAATGTTTACATTTGACTTTTTAAATATTATGATATAGGGCTGGTAAACTCTATACGGGTCAGCATCAAATTCAACTGGACTGTGGTCATTCGGCAATCTTATCATTAACTCATATATATACATCAGTTAAATAAGATACAGTTAACATATAAAGTCTTCAATAAATATACAACTTTATGATACATTATACTCATGACATTTATGTAGTGATAGAAAATCTAATTGTATGTAAATTAACATTAAAATTAATGACTTATTACACTTACTCTTCTTCATCTGTTTCATAATCAGAATCTCTTTCGCTTCGTTCCTCCCCATCACTCGCCTCCGAGGGAGTCATTGAGCCTCCCCCATCAGACTCGGGGGGCTTGGCAGACATTGTTTTTGTTTCACTTTCCAATCCACTGAATACTGAATTGTGCTACACAGCACACTGAAGTCTGCAGGTGCAGGATTATGTTGGCCATTTATACGTCACCCTGCATAGGATGGAATATTGGGAGTATTTCTAAAGGAGTCCTTATTCTGTCTGTATCTCCATTACGGCCTCACATTTCTCACAATGGATTTTCAACTGGAAATTAAAACAATATACCAAGTGGTTTATGAATACATTTATAACAAGTTATTATCAATGAAAATATATTGGAAAAGAAGCTTGCATGCAACCATTTTATAACAAGTCAACTCATTTGATTATCAGATTCCAAGATCATGCTTAAAATTTGCACAGAAACATTGGTATATAACTGGTAGATGTGAATAATTAAAAAGCATAATCCATTATCATCAACATGCAACTGCTTGCACCTCGTCAGATTTTAATTATATCACAGAATTCAATATTATTTTTCTAGGGTAAATACATCACTGGTATAACAACCTGGACCCCGACCATTTTCTGTTTGAATGTAATAGGACGAAGTATAGTGACAAAGATAGTGCCGTTGCTGGGGCTCGAACCCGCGACCATTGGCTCTCCAGCCTGATGCTCAATTCTTTTACACTATTCCTTTTCCATCGCCAACCCAGGTTCTTCGACTCCCCACCAAGGGTTCTCCTTCCTTGAACGGGGAGGGTCAATGACACCAGTTTGTAGTAGGACAAGGAATATATAGTGATAAAGATAGTGGTGTCACTCAGGGACTCGAACCCGAGACGGTGATGACCCTAACCTCTCCGTCCCAATGCTCTACCGCTAAAGGGAAATTCCCTACAGATGAGGCTTATAAGGCACCCTCATCAATACACATCTTTTACATGAATAAGGATGTTACAGCTTTCATTGCCACTGATCATGATTTTTAGTTTTACATGATTTTTTTGGCAAGCCCTGCGGGTTCTCAAAATCTGTAAAGCCCCACAGGAAAAGCATGGCGCAAATATTTAACGATGATAGTACTTGTATAGTAACAATTGTTTATACTGATACATTATGTATGTTTAGTGAACGTGAATTATGAAAAAGAATAATGTTTAAAAGTGAATAGCCTGAGTATAAATACCTGTCAATTGCAAACTGGAAATAATAATGTCATCAACGATGACAAGTGCCATATTCTTATTCGAGAGGGGGGTGGGGGGGGCTAATCTTGTTTCCACAGTGGGAGTCCATGACCCGACCATTTTATTTCTCTCCATATACTTGAATGCTTGACAACGCCGACTTTACCATAATTAAGTCTAATAATGGTGCCTTTCGTCACAGCCTCAATTAAAACATGAAAATTATTAAAAGTACGGTCAAATAGGACGGTTAGTTTACAGTATCCATGGTTTCGTATCAACTTTTTTCTTTACCGGAAATCAATAACGATAACTTCCGTTCCGCCAAAACCAAAACATACAATATAGAGACAGCAGATCTTCATTTGTTGGCCTTAATGTCATATTTTTAGACTTACTTTTCAATCGAACACTCGATAAATGCGCTGTTATCATTCACAAACTATCAGAAAATACACGAGTCTAGTATAAACATGTAAGGAATTCAATAAGAAAACGGGCACTGCACCTACCGACTCCCATATTGGCCTCAATGAAAAACTTAAGTCCTTGCCTCTTTTCATCTCCATGGCAGTAAAAACAATATTTTGAATATTTTATCAACTCAAAAATTTTGCAAGTTACCTTTCAAATTTATATCTCGATCCACTATCCTCCACCGCTATGTGCTCCTTTCAGCGAGTTAAGACAAGCGCTAGAAGTAAACTATGGAATCATGGGTAATGAGGACACAGGTCATGCATAAAAAAGAAACGTATGTGTGCGTATAGTCCGGAAAACTGGGATTTGTTTTCTGGTGTGAAGGAAGAATGACAAAGAATGCCAATTCAATTCAATTCAATTCAATTTAATTCAATTCATTCAATTCATTCAATTCATTCAATTCATTCATTCAATTCATTCAATTCATTCATTCAATTCAATTCATTCAATTCAATTCAATTCAATTCAATTCAAGTTTATTTGGTAAAAAGGTACAACATAACAATTTCATACAGTACCCAATACATGTTTTGGCACTAATAATTTATATGGCTGATTACATTATAAAACATCTTAATGTAAAATTATATAAGTCTCTAAAAAAGTTATCACACTTTTATAAATTACAAGGTAGGTAACGGTTTTTCGTACGAAAAATAAAATAACTAAAAGCGACACGAATCTCATCATGATATATTGTATCATTTTTGTAGGCATTTTTGTTGGCCTTATATTTGTGTATAACTGCAGTACACACAAAAGACATGATTGTTAACGTTGATAAGACAAAATGTATGGTTTTAACAACAGTCGTTGTAAATTAAGTGAAAATGAACTTAATTTGATTTTTAAAAATGAGAAAATACAACAGATAGAGACTGAAAAAAATAGGAGTAAAATAAGACCACCACTTATCGTTTTCAGATCATATAAATTTCATTCTGAAGAGGGTAAGTTGTGGATTAGGGCTACTCCGTCGTATCAAACAGTATCTGCCAGTAAGTTGACGGTTAAAATATTTTAATTTATGTGTATTTCCACATTTTGTATACTGCTGTACAGTGTGGGGAGGCTCTACTGACAATATAATGAACAAGTTAAATAAATTACAAAAAACGTGCAGCACGCCTAATTTTAGATGTTCCATTTGAAACTCCTTCAAAAGAAATATGTTCTGTGTTGAAATGGAAGCCTATCAAATTATATATAAACTATAGAAAGTCTGTAATGACCTTTAAATGTGTACATGGACTTGCTCCTGAATATTTATGTTCTTGTTTTAAACGTGTAAACAGTGTCCACTCCAGAGCTACACGACGTGCTGAACAGAATATGTTGTACATTCCTAAGCACAGGACAACCTTCTATTCTAGTCACTTTGTTTTATCAAGCTGTAAGATTTGGAATGCACTTCCAAATGATGTAAGGTCATCACCATCTTTTAACATTTTTAAGCATAGAGCTATAAAACACTACTGTGAATCATGCTTTTAGATAAAGAAAACAGTTTTTAATGTATGCTATATTAGCGTATATCCTGGCAATTTTTATACTTTGCTATATTAGCATATATGTATATAAGGCTCCGGCAATTTAACTATTATCAGACCTTCAAAGCATGAGATGTATGCTTTCTGTGATATTTGATGTATTGTACTATATAATTGCAAGTAATATTTTCATCAATCTCATAACTTATATTTTAGATGTCATTTATGTTTAATTTATATTACTATGTTTTAAGAAATACTATGTAAAATTAACACACTTTACTAATATATAGAGGACCCTGAGGGAGATTAGCCTTTGGCTAAATCAGGTTTTTAATCCTCAATAAATAAAGTTTATTATTATTATTATTATAGTATCATTCTCACTATAAGCTGTGATTCTGACTGTCTCATTCGCCTCTGGCTGGCCATGGGTAATTAAAACATTATATGAAGAATTCAATGCATATTAAAATTTCTCATTGGGAGTGTTTTTGGTCAAATTCAGTCAATTATCCCAGGGTCGCCCCTATAGTAATTAAGTAACGCATATTTTTTCCCCAAAACGAAATTTAGAGAGATCTCCACGTATAGTGTTTCTCTCCTGATTTTCTTCCCCAGGGATGCTATGTATATGTATATATGTAAATGTTTGAGAATGTTAACTAAGATAGTTGTCAACACCAATACTAATTCATACGGCCAAGAAATAATACAGAGTGCTTAATGTTATCAATTACTTATTTTACGAAATCAGAATAATTATGTGGTTCCAAGATGTCGATTAACCTTATTTGAGAAATCGTTCATTCCTAGCACATTACGACTTTGGAATAATCTTGATATTCAAATCAGAACATGTAATACGCGTTTTACATTAAAAAATAATATTTCTTTTAAATGAGAATGTGCTCCTGATTTTTATTCCACTGCTGAACGAAAATTTAATGTTTTGCATACAAGACTCCGGTTTAACTGCAGTTCCTTGAGCTCTGACCTCAAACGCATCATTGTAATTCAGTCGCCTGAATGCATATGTTCTTATCCTATAGAAAATGTTGAGCATTATTTTTTAGAATGTCCATTGTATGTAGAAGCCGGAAATACCCTCAGGAGAAAACTTTTAGGGAATTTGAATTTAGATTTGTTAAATGCTGATTTACTTTTGTATGGTTCAGACATGTTTACTGCTAATGAAAATTGTTTTCTATTCATATAAGTTCAAGAATATATAAAAAAAAATCAAAACGGTTTAGTTAAAAATATGTAAAAACAAAAGTAAATATACTTATATATCACCTGTATGTGGTTAGCATTGTGGTACTTTGATGACGCAGTGAATCGCATCCGGAATAGCAGGGAGCCTAGCAAGCTCGGAACTCTTAAGGAAGCCAAGGATGTGTGATATTTATACTTGTTGAAAGCGGACATATTGGTGCGGTGCGTTTTAAAGAAAGTTTCAAGGAAGTGACCCTAGTGTGATGCGGTCTGCCGCGTCATCAAGCTGCTACGGTGTTGACACATGCAGGTTGATATCAGAGCTTGTTTTAAATCAATAAATGTTATATTGTTTTAGTGACTATATGATATGTATCATTGACAGAAGTTTCAATATGAAAATATACACTTTATATTGTTTATAGTAACGTTACAGCGTATGTTTATATTATATACAGGTTACTGAGACATGTTAGGGTACATTCAATACAAAAAAAAATCTATAAGGTTTGTATATTGTACATTTTATCTTATTCATGTTTCCTTTGAATCATCTAAATTTACAGTCATCAATATTTTCTACTATGCAACCATATGTATAATTCATTATTATTGCTTTAAGGGAGATGGCGAACTTAAAGTTTACAACTTGTGTCTAATCCCTTTTGTATTTTTGCAAATAAAGTATGTTTAAATCAAAAATCAAATAATACGTAAATGTACACCTGAAAAATGTCAATATATTTATATAAACAAAAAAGTCCTGTCTGTACTAGGCCTAGTGTCGTTTTTCTATGTTTTATTGTCTTCAGTCTTCTTATTTTTATCACTTTCTTCTCCTGCTAAAAATTTCACAAAATACTCCAAATAGTATGATTTTGTCAATATATTTATATAAACAAAAAAGTCCTGTCTGTACTAGGCCTAGTGTCGTTTTTCTATGTTTTATTGTCTTCAGTCTTCTTATTTTTATCACTTTCTTCTCCTGCTAAAATTTCACAAAATACTCCAAATAGTATGATTTTGTTTTGCTTTATTACTGAAATGTTGAGATTTATAATGTTTGATATGCAGGAAACGAAAATAATTTTGCCTCGAGATCGGTAACATTATAAATCGTCCTGACCTGACACATCAAATTTAGTCAGTTTGACTATGTAAACAAAAAATATGTTTGAAATAGATAAATAGTATAGTTTTCATTATGTGGTCTGATGTCTGAAATTGCTAGATGTGACATGACATGGCTTAAATTCAACAGATTAGTTAAAATTATGGCGATCGTAGGTCATGTGGCAATACGAGTTCTCTCCCTTCGTATGTGTACTTGTATGTACATGGGACATTTTCATATATATTATATCTGATATAGCTATAGCTTAATATTTATATCAAGTTGAAAAAACCCACTTTATGATATTTAATTGCATTATTTTTGACCGAATGTTTTAAACCACAGATTCAATATTCTTATCGAGGACCAAATCCTAACTCAAAATTCCGACGAAAGGACATACTTTTACATTTTTGAAAGTAAAATCAGAAGCTCCAGAAATTTTAACCACTTCTGATGACTCTGGCCTCCAGACCCCGAAAATTTAGGTCACAGTAAAGTAATAACTTTTTTTCGTGGGTTTTCTCTTTAGCGACTGTAATCGATTATTTTAAAAAGACAGCAATACAACGGGAACACACTAAATAATTAGTGTAGATATATTGGTTAATTACTGTTAATTCGACATACGTCCGTAGACCACTGCATATTTCCCTATTATCGAATACATACCAACACCACATTTTCACTGGCGGCCCGCTAAAATACAGACTGTAAGGCCGCGACTGACGGAAAATGTGCTGTTGTGGCTCTAATACAGGGAAATGTGATATCTAATGAGGTTTGTCAAGCAGAAATTATGTTTCGCACATACTCAGGATGTTAGTTAACTGAACTGAACAACAATGGAGGACAAAATGGGGTCGAAGAGCGAATAATGACTCCACGTAACATTGTCTTGAACTTTATTCGTAACTCATTCCTGTTTCGATTCGTCGACTGGAACAGTGGATAACATCCAATAGTCCGAAACGGCTGCTCGACCTAGAAGGTTTTCTTCTGGTGCTCCGGTTTCCTCCCACGTTAAGACCCACATGTGGTAACTTTCATTATAAGATAATGTGGTGTACCATTCCGACGACAACCAGAGAAAGTTTCATTCTTCCCTTCAACCACAGGGATTCGTTACAAATGTCTAAAATTCACACATGCTATATTGACTGATGTAGGTCACAGCAAACCTAAGCTGTTACCCATATCAGAATAACATATGTATACTGTTTTTCACATGTATAACGAATCCCTAGGGGTGCTTCAACCGAGAAAAATATGGAGCAAAAGCTTTGAAAATACAGACGACGATATTGATACTAAATGAAAAATTCCAAATGTATTCAAGACGCAAATTTAGTATAGAGAAAGTGACATTTATATGTAAAAAAATCTTAATTCCACCCAAGGTGACGGTCTGACG